GATTAAGATGATGCGTTAGCCGGCTGTAACGCTGCCTAATAGTTACACACCCATGTGTTATGACGAGAGAAGAGTAAAATTTAGTTTTAATTTTAGATTGTGGAATGTTACTTCATACGGAGAACTTAACGTCGGCCGACTTTCGTTACGTCAACCAAAGCCAGCTTCGTGGACGCTTCCCATGGGGGACATCGGTAAAAGTGTTTTTCCAGATCGACCTCAGTAAAACCTATTGGTTGAAAATCACGGCTATATCTACTCAGGGTGGAGCGAACGTGAACACAGAATGGATGAAGCAATACAGAATTCGCTTTTTCGTTGGTGCAGAGCCAGTTCCTCATACAGACTCTGATATAGGAAAGGTTAGATATAATTAAATACTATTCTTGGCTTGGCTTACAACCACGTGATAAGGTGGCCATGTTGGTGGTGTGTTGGGGGTCAATACAATATAATTTTTTCTCGAAGAATTTACATGAAAATAGGGTGTAGTTCCCAGAGGAGAGAGATGCTTTTGTCACTATAATTAACCCTAACACACCACCAACATGGCTGCCGTGACGTCACGTGCAAACAAGCCTTCTATTTCGTCACCGGTCTGTGTCACAAGGACGCGTTGTAGCCCTTATTTTATTGCCTTACAATATATCAATAATCTTGAAACTGAAAGGTCATATAAAAAGAAGGTTAATCTCAAGAATCTTAAATTTTTCAAAAAATCTATCGAGCGGTTTAAAAATTATTCGCTAATTTGTTAAAGTAGACCAAAATGTTTACAAAACCGCTAACAAGAGCGCCTCGATACATACTAATCAAACCCTTCTTTCTAGCAATCGGCTGGAGCTATCTCCCATGATCTTTCACACACGCTTTTAAAAAGATTGAAACTACTATGAGGTGAGATTTCATGTCGAAAGCGCTTCATTTTCTACAGATAACGGCCAAACAACAATATTGTCCATTTTTTACTGTGTTTCTAACAATAAAAACCTTATCCCAAAATATCTCGATAACGCTCTTACAGATTTCGCTTAAACTTCACGAAGATCGAGGCTGCTATTGGAGGAAAAAGCTCCCGTGAATGATTTTCGAAGAACAGTTCCCAGTGCAGAGATATACTTCTGCAAGTAAAATAGGTAATACCGTCATTTCGTTGCTATGACAACTCCGATGCCGTTGCAACCCTGATCATAACAAATTTTCATCTTCATGTAATACAACTGTCGTGGCAATTTTTCCAAGACTTTGTTTATGGCGACGTAGTTTATGATCAAACTTGGGAGGTATTGATCCTGAAAAACTATATCGAGCCACCTTAACCTTCAATGCGTTTGGAGCTACGTCGACCACTTTTAACCGTTTTTAGCGAAACTTTTTTCTTGGAATATTACGTAAAACAAACTATCTGTACTGGAGCCGTTATGCAAGAAGAAAAAAAGCTAAAATGAAATCAGCTGCTATAGATAACTACTACTAAACTTGGACCGGACAGATTCATCCCGGATCCAGAATTCAGGGTGACTGCGAGCCGATACCATTCTTGAAAATGGCGGGAAAACACTCATCGGACAACGAGCGTCCGGACAAAGCTGGATTCACGGCAGAATTGGAAAGAGAAGACGAGGACACACTCCTTCGAGACGATGATGTGAACAACTCAGTCCTAAGGACAATTCCTGTCTCTTCAGCAAAAGCCAACGACACGTTGGAATCGACACTGTCGAAGCTCAATGACAACATTTTGTCAGTATCTCCGTCTATGAGATCGATGCAGGAAACCCTTGTTCGATTTGCCGATGGCCAGAGACACTCAAAAAGGCCAAGATATGATGAATTGTCTGACTCAGACACCGACTCGAATAATGACGCTTTTGAATCAGATAGCGACACGCTGCTTAAAAAAGGAGAGAAGAGTAACTCGACACGGTAGTCGAAAGATGATTTGCTCGACACCATGATCGCAAACGATCTGAATGCTGACGAGCAAACCGACCAAGATGTTTCGAAAAAGCTCGCCAAACTCGTCAATAAGATATGGTCGGAGAAACTAACTTCTGATAAACACTCAGAGAAATTAAAGAAACATTCCCGACCCGGGAACCTTGAGAGCTTAGTTGCTCCACGTGTAAACCCCAAAATATGGGCAAACATGAGCCATACGGCCAAAAGCGTTGATCTCAGAGAAGCCAACACTCAGAACATCGTTTCTAAGGTGGGCACTATTGTTGCAAAATGTACTGACCATTTGTTCACGGCCCGCGAAAAAGATGCCAAGAAAATTGACCTTGATGAAATGGTTAGTTTTCATACGGATGCTCTGGCGTTGTTAGGCCACTCGCAATATGAATTATCACTGAAAAGAAGCGAGGCGATAAGACCTAGCCTCAAGAGAGAATATGCAGCGCTTTGATTTCCAAATGTCCCAGTGACTTCGCTGCTCTTTGGAGATGACCTTCAACAACAGCTTAACAATATAAAAGCGTCAAATAAAATTTCACAAGTGTCAGGGAATGTAAACAAATCGCAAAAGGCTGGCTACAAAGGTAGTTCTAGCAACAGGGGACAACACAGATCCTCAGACCGACCCTCAGACCAGTATTACAAAAGATCCTTTCATTCCCACAATCAATGGAAAAATCATGGGGACAAGTCAAGGGGCGCTTATACGGGCGCGGTTAAGGCGTACTTGAAATTTTCTATCTGCAAACTGCTTACTTTTTCATGTGCCATAAGCCTATACTTTGCCCAAACGTTGCTCAGAAATGGAAAACTTGCTCGAGGTTGCCAGAACCAGAGAAACTTTGCTTTAAACATCAGAGGTGCTCTAAAGTTACGCAGGGTTTCTAGCCCCGACCTAGCTAGTCGGAAATGTTGTGCGTTTCTTGGCTCCACCTCGAAACGGGCTGCGGCCGCTTGGGGAGTGGGGGAAAGGGACGGATAACATTTCAGACCTATACGACTTTTTCCCCTTAATGTAATTTTTTTAACAATACAAGTAAGGAATTCATAATCGTATTTCAAAACGAATGTGATGGAAAACAAGAGAGTACAGTGGAACCTCGATTAAAGGAAGGGCCAAGGAATTGACAAAATTTTAGGGCTACCCAAAGACGGTTTCCTCCTAAATTCATTGAAAACCCCTTTTTAGTGTACGTACCCAGAGTACTTTTAGATTTCAAGAAATGCATTCTAAGCGGCGCTATAAAATTTGTATCTGTTCGGGTCATCCTAGGAGAACTTTAAAAGTCTTGTCGAATTTACAAGGCTTCAGTATTATTTTTTTGGAAATAATATGCAATTTAGCGTATCACGAAAGTGAGATTTTTTATTCCTCTCTCAATCACATATTTGAATCCCAACAGTTTAGGTTCCCTTTTTGTTACGAAAAAATAGCCTAACCTTGGATGCAAAATATGGAACATTAAATTTCAGAAAATCGTAGGGAATTTATCTGATAACCCTCGAAAATTTTACATCAACGAAACGGTCATCTAGACATTTTTAGGGGTCCTCATCCTATAGAAAATTCTAGGTAATATTTGCTTCTCCGAACATATATTTTACAGGAAACAGTCGTTGGCTGTCCCTAAAATTTGTTCGCTATAACGAGGTTTCGTTATATCAAGGTTCTTTTTTATATATTCTACTGTCATTGGGGTAAAGAACTGTATAAGGGCCTACCCCTTTTTAGTAAAATCCAACTAGTGGTCTGTTATCAATGCTGCGTTCTGATTGGTTGAGCTACTACTAGGCTAAATGTTATAGCCCACTAGTAGCGAAAAGCGCCTGATTTTTGGCGACAAAAAAGGATTAGTCTTGTTTTAAGTTTTTTTGTCTCGATGTTTTTGACCAACTAGTTGAATTTTACTAAAACAATTATTCCTCTAGTCCTCATGGCCTATGAGTCAATCGCCCAGTCGGCCTTCGGCCTCATGGGCTATTGACTCAGAGCCCATTCGTGCTCGAGGGATAATTGTTAAATAGTCTTTTGAGGAAAATATATTTTTAAGTGTTACGTTTGCAGGGTCGCTCTAGTGGATAAGTCAATGAAACTAAGGATTTTGATTATTGACATGTTTCGCTATAAATTATTGTTTTACAGAAGAATGGTATCTGTCTTCGCGGTATAACCTGGGTCTCAAAGTTCTTTGTCACGCAATCTCGTTTCGCTAAAGGTTCGGGGCTGTTGTCAAAAAATGTGAGGTAGGTCAAAATGTTTTCCTTTCATAGCTATAACGATTTGTTTCATGAGAAATAAGAGCATTTTAAAGAATAGCTACCGACACTAAAGCCGTTTTGTACATAAATGATAGCTGTTACAAATACGTTAAAAGTAAACAAATACGCACGCAAGGGAAGTGTTGTAGTCAAGAAGTTCATGGCTCACTTTCGCACAATAAAATGCTTTTCCTTTTGAAAAATTACCACTGTGAAATCTAGAATCATTTTAGGTGTTTAAACTTGCGGAAAAGAGGCGAATTTGAGTCAGAGTTTCAAATGCTGTCTTAGTTCTCGCTTGTACCACTGCAAGTTCAAAGGTCGTAAATCACGCGAGTACCGTAAATGTTTTCAGTTGTAAAAACTTGCAGTTTGAATTGCCCCAAAATTTCATTTCACAGATTGATAGGGGAAGCATTGCTCTTTCTCTGGAATACCATTTTTCTAATGAAAGCCATGTACCAGGAAGGGATTTTCGCCGTTGAAAAATGGCAAAATTGATGGTACTGATTTAGAAGGTAAGGATGATACTGATTTAGAAGGTAATTTTGAAAATATATTAAAAAATCAGATTGAAATCGTTTGAAATTGTGACAACGTTTAGATACAAAGGAAGAATCATGAAATTGTTTCATGTAAGAAAAGTCATGGTATTAGTTTCCGTTTCCATTCACGAAGCGAGGATATCACGCACATTTTTCGGTGGTTTGAAGGCCTCTGGAAGGTGAAAATTAAAAAAATTGATTATTTTGGAAAATATAAAGTCAAACGAACTGAGTCTTGTATTTTCTAAAATAGTTTCCAAAGGGCTTTGTTGTGACAAAGTTTGGGGGATTTCGATTGTTTCATCTTGCACACCTATCCGTGGTATTTACAGAAAGTCGCTCATTAGAGTTCAAACCTTTATAAATGATGCAGTTAAAAGGTGGTAAATGTGGAATGCATCATCATCATTATCATTACGATTATTATTATTACTGTTATTATTGTTAGAAAAATATTTTATCACGTTTTGTCTCTTTTTAAAATCCAATTTTAACAGAATTTCAGTGTACAATACATTAAATGTTACCAAATTATTATTGTTACTATTATTTTTATTTCTATTATTATTATTATTATTATTATTATTATTATTATTAATGTTATTATTATCATTATTGTTATTATTAGATCGAGGCCGGGTGGGATGATCGCCTTCAGTTTTGAATTGAGTTTCAGTGAAAAATTAGCCAGAGCAAGTGAATGGTACCAACCATTTAAACCGAATTCTTATTCTGGAATCAGCCCAATTGAAAGCCTCCTAATTGTTTGAGAGCTGATAAAAACGGGAAACACACCGGGGAAGTAAGGTTCTCAGTTATTGAACTCAGACAGCTTTATTGAGAACTCAACATCAACACCGCAAGTTAAGATTTTCAGTTCAGATTTACGCTAAGTAGAAAACCTCGTAATCGTCACAGAGAAAGTAACTACTCCCTGCCAGTGCTGTCGCGGACGCATAACCACTAGGCAGCTTGTAAGTGTTGCCAAGTCTGCTGTAGGAAGACTTGCTCGTACGGCAGCTGTTTGAAAGATACAAGTCATGAGCTTTTCCAAAGGTGGGCCCGTAGGTTGAGTAGTCAAACGTGGCATAGTTATAGTTCTGGAACAATGGACTTTTGAATGGTGTGTTCGTAGAACTACGGAGCGAAAACAGGAAGGAGCTGGTGCTGCTCTTGAAATTTTGATCTGAAATAAGAGATAGGCAAAACCATTAACTCATTATTTAAGGGTGAGGATGACATAGAACGATCCTGTGCTAAGAAACCTGGCTTCAGTCACCGTTTCTTAGAAAGCTGTGTCTAGTTGCTCTGTATGAATATCATGGCATTTCCTCTTACTTACAAAATGTAAACAGTCGAAGACAAACGGAGATAAAGTTAACCATCTCTTTTTTAAAATGAGTTAAAGTTGTTCGCACCTTGTAATAGCTGTCATTGGACTTCAGTATATAATAAAATCTTGAAGAGTGATTTATCTTGTTATTTTGTACAACAGGAGAATTAAACTCAGCTTGGCCGAGGGTGGACTCGCATAGGAAAGGGGCGGGGATGCTCGTCGTCTCGCATAGGTCTGTAAATTTAGGATTTTGGTCTCACTAAGGGTGTTCAGGGCAAAACACCATTATATTTAGCCGTGAAGGTCTCGATTAGGGTTGCACGCGAAGAAATATAAAAGTATATTTAATATAAACAAAATCTCGGTGGCCATGAAAACCAGATTAAAGTGTTCGATACATTAGTAAAGCGGGAACACAAACGGTGTTGCAGGACAACAACTGGTTCGCACGCATTTTTTTGGTATGATAATAGCCGTAGAACAAAAATTAAACCACTGACGAGTGAGGTCTCCGGATCTTATGTTTTCAAAGTCACGGCATTTTTCATTTGTCTGTGCTTAAATTAAAATGGTCTTTTTTAGAGGTAAAAAAAAAAAAGTTTGGGCCACGCCCAGACTGGTCTCCTTCAGGACTTTAATTCAAAATTTCCGACAAGCATCCCCGCCCTTTTCATATGCGAGTTACGTGTCCCCCCTGCCCTTCCCGGGGTCAACAAGTTTTCTCGCAAAAACACGTCATGTGAGCTTCGAAAATCCCTTATATCTCTCTTGAACTAAAACATGAACAAATGAAAGTTGGTAGAAATGTGGTCTTAAATAGTAATAATTACTAATCAGAGCATATTGTTGACAATTAGACTGAAGCGACGAGGCGTCGTCTAAACCATTACCTCCTCATTCTCTTAAAATATCAAGCACATTGTGGTTTCTGGTCACTAACGCAGGAAAGCTCATCCAGGTTACACTATATCGGAGGCTAGCTCTTACTGGAAGAAAAATAGTGTGATACTTCAAATAAACGCAAACGTTATCACTCGTGGTTGTGACACACGTCAAATTAAAGCGGGAGTCTGCGTAAACGGCCTTAAGTCACCTTTTCTCAACCCGTTTTACATGCGCCTAAAAATTGGCACGGCACCCCGCCGAGTGACTGGAGTGCCGTGCCTAACTTTGTGTGCGTGCAATGGGTGTTAGACCTGTTTTCACCTGAGTTTCGTAAAACCAAAATCACAGCAATTAGAGAGCCAACCTTCTTCTGAAGGAATATCCCCTTCATACAACCACATACCAAAGTAATCCAAGAATTTTTTTACTAGCCGATCAGAACGCAAAGCTAAAAGAGATATTCGGGCGAAACGCGGGGAAACTGGAAACTAAGTATCATCATTTGTGAACTTTAACTGAGGAACAAATTTCACTTGACTCCGTGGACCGTATCTAGTCATCTAGTCGTCGGTGACTAGGAACACTTTGGCTATGGCTCGTGTAGCCACAACACTTCTCGTTGTGTCATGACACTTACATGAAGTCCATGGTTGATCAGTGTATCCGCCAAATACGAGATGTCCAACTTCGACTAGGGTAACTGTGGGGCCTTTATTATTACAAAGGGCATGGAATGAAGCAGCACTGTAAGAATGATCTCTTGCATTGAAGCACAGTTTCCAGTGCTTTCCGTTTGTTTCCACATCCTTCAGATACTCAAGGAGGATTTTCAAGAGATCTTTATTATGAGAAAGAATCTCGGAACTCTCGAAGTCGGTTTTCTCTGAAGAGTAAAAGAAAAAAAACGCGGCATTTACAACAGAATACTGTAACCTTGTAAGGACTGAGTTCTGTCTGAAGGTCAATTGACCACGTTTAGAGAGAGAACGTGCGTCCATGTTCCCGGATACTTGTTTTCAATTTACTTTCAAATTTACCCCGTGAAATTTAAAAACAGACGGGAAGCTTAGATTACACTACGCAGTCTCCATGACCTTATGCCATTCAATTGACCAATCATGATCAGTTCTTGAAATGTAGCTTGCTGTGCGACCTCTTTTCAAAATGAGGTTGAAAAAAAATTATCATTGGTAAAGGTGCCGTAAAGGGAATTCGTTTTCTCCCATAAGTTTCCCTTGCTGTAGATATATCAAAATATACTTGCCGGTGCAGTTCTGTCCCCCGTAACCCAGTTTACATTTGCACACATATGTGCTGTCTCCGAGCTCCTGACACATTCCTTCGTTCTTGCAAGGATGTAAGCTGCATGGCTTGACTTTAACTGCAGGTGAGAGGAAAGAAAATGTGTCATATGGTTGTCATAAAACTATTTTGGCAGAAAAATATGGTAGAGGCATAGCAACAGGCAAAGACTATAGCTACATATGGGAGGCGGCGCGCGAATGGATGATCACTATACTAAATGAGTAAAACATGTCCGTCGGTTATAGCACCGTTAACAGCTCTTTTGTGGAATCCGCGCTTTGGCAGATTAGAGCAGGGCAGTCTTATCTTCGAGAATAACCCATCCGTTTGTAATTATCTTGTGTTCTTCACGTATGTCGCAAATGTATCTAAAGATGAAAATAAACTATTGCTAACGTTTTTTGTTGTTGTTGTTTTAGGCCAGAAGGAGACTCAGTCTCCAGTCCCTTAAGTTGGGGAGGGGATAACCTGCGATGGACTGGTGTTCCATCCAGGAGAAGTAGTGATACTTCCAGTCACTTAATGCTACGAAAACCAAAGTTAAGCGCTGGATGTCTGAGCCACAAACCTTATCGTCTTAACCTTCTACCAACATACGTGGCGTCCATTTTCAGTTGGTAGAACGCGCACAAGCACCCGGCGAAAACGAAAAGGTCACATGGTCAAACACGCTGAAGTCCTACACTAATTGCCTAAATGCAAAAATTACTGTGCCACTTTTTTCACTTCAGTGCATCTTAAATAATTTACGTGTAATGATTTCTGCAGTTAGGTTGGCTGAGTGCACGTCAGGTACAAATTTCGCAAACAGCACAAAGTGGCAAAATTTTTAGAGCTGTTTTGTTCAATTTGCACCGCAGACAGCTTAAATTGGTTATCAACTTTTTACCCCAGAAGAAACAAAAACATGGCCTTCAGGTTTGGAGAGCTTAACAGTTTCGGGAAAGAAAGACTGCTTATCGCAGTTATGTACCGGCATGACATACGAAAGCAACGCATTGAGCCAACATTAGGTTTTTTTGGTTTATCATGAGTAAATCAAGTAAGAGTGTTCCTCTTTCAATTTGCGGTCTTGATCCAGCAAAGTAACAAAATTTGTTACTGGATGGGTTTTGGATCATACACTTCAAGGGCGAAAACAAGTAAAGGGCCGTCACCTTATGCAATCAGGAGAGGCCATGTCGTACGTGACTGCGTTCAAGAGAGTTCAGCAGAACTAATTTAACTGGAAAGCAGTTATAGATAGAATAAAAAGAATCCATAAAAGAGTTCGACTGTAGCATACAATAAGAGACACTACAGATTCAAAGGCCTGCTCTGAGTCTGTTGCCATATATAGAAGCAACATTGGCGGTTTTGCGCAAAGAAAGCGATATGGCTTAGCAGTGGCTGTTCCAAAAGTGCAGGAGTCGGACGAATAGAATATTCCTAAAATCTCGATTTCTCGCGGCTGTAAAACTAACCGTAATGACGTCATCTACTGGATTAGGAATCGGGCTCCTTCGTCGCCCTCAAAAATAAATAATCGCTCGAGTCCTTGTACAATTATTTTCAAAGTTTTCAAAATTTACCGTCGCGGCATTCGACTCATACACGTTTTGGAGATCTTTAACAGATACGCTTGCAATTTATGGTGCTCGGCCTCGTTGATTACCAATACGGGAAAAATTGCTGGCCTGGTGTAGTTTTAGAGGTCTCCGTACCTTCACAACGAGTGCCAGTGAATCCAGCCTTGCAGGTGCACTTGAACTGTGAGTCTTCTTCTTGTGATGCCATACAAGTTCCTCCGTTTAAACAGGTTGAGTCTTCGCAAGGATCATCTGCAAAAGGGAATATACATGCTGGGGTGACGTCTTCACGCTTAAATGATTGTTTCATCTTGATGAGAACCCCAGTAATTTTGAAGCTTCGTGATAAAGTAAAAAGTGAAGAACTTTTATTCATACATGGGAGTAGGTAATATACATAGAAACAATCAAGTTCAACGAAACAAGGTTAAGAATCGGAACTGGCGAGAGCCAGACCAGATGGCTATTTACAAGCGCAAAGGGAAGATTTGCAACAGCGAGCTACCACGAAACAAGTCTATGTAGTGGTCAGGGAGCAATTTGGACCGGGGTCACCGCACACAAATCCGGCGCCCTCACTGACTCGGACTCGCTACTTCGCTTCAGAGCCAGTATTTTCTGGCATCCTGGTATATCAGGGAGGTATGCCCCGACTTAAATCTTCGCTTCCGGGACATCTTTAACGTACCGTGTGCTTGATAAAATTTATTTAGCAAAATTAATGTAAATTGTGTTGATCAGAACTAGTAAAAATTAGTATTTTGTCAGCACGGAGCAGACAGCGTGCCAGGGATCTCGGATCTTGAGTTTGAACTGCTAATGTGCCTTTTGGCAACTGAGGTCATTCTACGGGCGGCCCCGCCCAGTTTACCTCACCGAGTTTAGTTTCTTTTCGCGTCGAATTAGCGTAAGAGTTCATGGAAAAATACATTTGCAAACTGTTACGTTAACTTCAACTAGAAAGTAACTGTCAACGAGGGAAAACAATCATTGTAACATTTTATTACTTGGTCTGGTTAAGAATACTCTAGACAATCAGAAAGAAGTCACTGAAAACGACATTTTGTTAATCATGATTAAAATGATGGGCTGAAATACAAAGGAATCAGCTTACTCGAACATTCGGTGTTACCAGGTGAATCGCATTCTTTAGTGTCGTCGTTAAACCAGAGATAGCTTGGGCATATGGCCTCAAATGCTTGATGTTTGTAGCATACCAAGTACTTCCGGCACGATGTCGGGTGAGGATATTCCCCATCATCGTAGTAAGTGCATGGTTCACCACCTAATTTCAAAGAGAGAACAAGAGTTGGAAAAGGAAGTCGCGCCCCTGGAAAATCTTTTCTTGCTGATTTGCTCATTAGGTTCGAATAAGTGAAACAAAGCTATTCGGTTAATCATCTCTAAAACTCTAAAACGAAATGGTGTGTTTCACGCACGGTCAAGACTGAAAACGTAAATAAAAACATGAAACGAAGAAACTAGTCGTGCTTCATGAGCATTTCTATTTATCAACCATAATCAACTGGGCCTGACGTTGAGTAGAGGCCTGATTAGTTTAACTAACCAGTTATGCAAGAGGAGGCCCTGGAAGTAGCCCTCATTGAAGATTTTGCGCGGTATCGGTGCTCTAATTCAAGTCAATCCCTAAAAAAGGTGCAGTCTTAACTACAGATCTGGTGTTGTTGCTTAGGGGTTAAAATTACGGACGTCACTTTGCCAAACGCCGCTTTGTCGGTTTTATGGCTCTAGATTGGGAAAATGTATGAAAGTGAACATCGGAATATTAAGAATCATCATCGCGCGTGCGTTGCCTGTGCCAGTCTCAAACCGAGCACTGAAGCGCAAAATCCTTGAAAAGCTGAGAAAAGAGGGTAGCATCTTTCGTGAATCATTTATTCAGTCTCAAAATGTTACTGCGATCAAAAAAAGTAACTTCTCTTTTTCCTTCAAATTTGGAAAGTGTGGCGAAATTGGAAGCTTTAAAAATTTTGAGCAGTAGAATGTTTATTTCTTCCTAAATTTACCTCCAAAGAAAAATCTAAACGTTGTTCGTTTTATTCTTATCCCAGAATAGGGTCAATCGAATGCGCACTTAATCGGAGACGGCCCTATTTTGGAACAGCCCAGAGGTTAGTGTGTGCGCTTGTTCGTTTGGTATTCTTGACCATTCGTAAGGAAGAATCACACACTCCCAGCAAGCGCGAAATAAACCCTATATATCTTCCCCCTCTAAGATAAGACAAGCTGTGTTTGATTAGCAGCAACCAACAATTTTTCTTTAGCGCATGATTTGGAAAGGACGTTTCTAACTTACGAGGACACGGCACTTCATGTAGGCATTGCCTTGTTGCAGGGTCGAAGAGCAGTCCCATCGGGCACAAGTTTACAGTGGCTTTGCCGTCCATGCATGTGTAGAATCGATTGCAGAACAGCGAGTCCTGATACTCGCCATCTGGTAGGTCTTGGCAACTCTCTGTCTCACCCCCTGTCGAGTAAAGCAATCTAGCAAACCAGTCCGAGACACGATTACTTAAACGAGAGTTGATGTAGAACTTTCGTTTAAGTCTGTCTCATAACAGTGTACAACTGAATATGGACGAGTTTCAGTCAAAGATGACTGAGTGATGTTTTCAAAATATTTGTCTAGCCTCGACCACAGTTTTCTAGAGTACACAATCTCTTTGACTACAACATCTATTGTCTTCCTGACTCTTGCATGATATCAGTCACGTGATCTTTAAATTTGAACGTCCTACTAAAAGGGGCGAAATTTTCCCGTGGCGTTTAACGCAGCGCACCACAATGGTCGGTGCGAAGATCACGTGATTGATAACACAAGGGACAGTGTCCGTGGAATTTGTTAATTAATTCACAATCTTTCCAGAAAAGGAAATGATTTTTTTCCCTCAGTAGATCATTAGACAATGTACAAACTTGTCTTGCACAATTTGCTTAGAATATTTTTTATGACCAGTTGCCTTGTTTTTGGTTTTCTTTGTTTGTTTGTTTGTTTTTACTCGTCGCTGCTATGTTGATACCATGTCTTGACTCGGAATGCCTTTATTTTTTCCGTCTGTCTCCTTCATTGTCTTACTCATTCTTTCATTGTTTTGAGGGGTTGTTTCCTTCGCCTATAAGCCAGTATTCGGAGCTGGAGGAAGGCGTGTGGCCGTTCTAGCCACACAACAGTTACTTGCTTTTGCGGGAGCAGGGGTATCCGAGTAATTGAGGGATTAAAGGCATCAAGTTGCTCGATTCCAGAGGTCTGCCACAGCGAAACAAATTTTGCACAGAGAAGACAAAAAACAAAAAAAAACTCGACAAAGGGACGTGCAGCGGCTGTCGTAAGGTCTCACGTAATTGGCTGCCCACCCTTCGGGTAAAAGAAAAACAAACAAACAAACAAAGGAATAAGCACAAGAAACAATCACTAGACTCCAGAACAATAGCAGCTGCTTCAATACCAAAACAATATCACGTTACGACAACCGCCGCACTAACCCAACAAAGCACTGCCTGGTCAGTAAACGTCTATCGAGTCTTGGCTGAATAACGCAACAAGTGACTTCCTGATTTTGGTTCATTATTGACTTCATTACAGTGTGGAAACAAACCGGTGAGCTGAGATGAAAACATCTTTGAGCAAGATTCTTGTTGCTGTTGTTGTTCGTTGTTTTTAGTAACACATATTTACAGCAGGCTTAAGCAATTCAGTATGTTTTAGATTGTCATCAGTATTCTTTATGTAGGGAATAGTAATAAGGATTTCAATCAGTGAAAAACAAAGTTCTTCTTAGTATTCTTCATATAGAGAAGACTGGCGAACAATTTTTCCCTATGCTTCAAAGCATACATCACTTTACATAATTTCAGTATGGAATATAGGGCATAGAAATATCGGCACTTATTGGCTGAGTGGGTGTAACCATGGTCTAACAACCGTTAAAGCGCTCGCGGGGTGGATTGCTTATCTGGTGATATACAAATGCCGATTGAAAACTATACCCTTTTGCGCCCCACGTACCTATATACCTGATTTAGGAAAGTACTCTGCCGAGATTGCCCTACCTGGCACGAGGTAGATGTCGAATGAATTCTGACCGCCAAGTCCATTTTTACAACCAGATCCTTCTTGATACTTTTTGAGATTCTTTTTCGCATCTCTACCAGACAAACATTGGATTTTTCGACCGACTTTGCTGACCGCAAAGATATCGTAATTCCCATCACGAGCTGCTTCAAAACACCTCATCACAGCGTCTTCTCCTTCCTGGCCCACACTTGAAGCTCTCCTCAGTTGACGGTTGAAGTAGCGCAAGATGCTTCTTCCGGAAAAGCAGCCCACGTGTGGATAAGCTATAAACCAGAAAACAGCACAAAATATTCATGGGTTAATGTATGTATTCACGTGCCTTACCAGTTCTACTAGAGGCCATCGACATACTCACATGTCTGAGTCTTATGCAACCTCTAACCCAGGCTTTCTCTCTTTTTTCCTCTCTGGTCGTCGAGAAAAAAAAAAACGGGTTGCGGCTGGTCACGTGGCTCCCAAAATCTGGGAGCCCCCCCAACCCCCAAAAAATGCAGTTAGAGCAGCACGTCAAGAGGTTTAAGCGACAGAAATTGCGTAAGCATGGTGTTAACATACCAACGGGCGAAGAGAAGCAATAGATGTTACGAACGAGTTTGAATTGAAAGGTAAATTGGCATGTTTTCCCCGCGCTTGGCGCCGTCTACCTTAATTTGCTTTGCGTTGTGATTGGCTAGTAAAACGAAGTCGTGAATTACTTCGATTTGTGGTTGGCTGAAGGGTGCACTTCCTTCAGAACGTGATTGGCATTGTAATAACTTTGACTTTAAAATAAGAATTAAAAAAGGAAAAAAAAAAGAACTCTCTTGGAACAGAGTAGAAAACCAACAACAAACTCAGCCCACATATGAACTAAATCCGGGTCACATTTGTGGGAAGTGAGTGCTCTTACTCACTCGAACACTGAGAAAAAGTGTGAGAACGCATACAACGGCTGCAATAAGTAAAGGTAATTGGACTGAGTGGAGTCCAATTTGATCTGCACTCATACGAGTGATTAACAAACTCGGACGACAGCAAAGCGGGAGTCCCATTTGTTAATCACGAGTATGATTACGGACAGAGTTGAACGACACGAACTCCTTTTACCAATTAAACATAAATATCACAATTCCCAAGGATATTAGAGAGGACAAAAAGCTGGCCATGGCGAGTGGCGTAAATTTTCAAACAACAATCACGAACAAATAACAATTAAATTATCACAAGGAATTTTTGAATCATTTCTGTATCTTTTGCATTATCAAGGGAATTCCAGTTCCATGAGACGGTGACGTATTTTGCTCACTCGTGACTATTTCATTTAAATTGCAGGTTTAATTGTGATTAGTTTACCAAACTGTCCGATTACAAGGTAGGAGTCAGATTACTGGAAAATACACGTTTTCGTCTTTTTTTTAACCAATCGCATTCCAGGAAAGTGCAATGTTTACGATTAAAGATATTTGTGGCTTTAAACTCTACTCACATAAAACGATTATAAAGTATTTTGCGACTAATCTATATAATCGCAAAACACAGCAATAGGAGTGGGCATTTCGTTTACTGATGCTGAATACAGGTAGCGTTTATAAACACAGAGGAAAGAGAAATAAAAATGCACAATACCAAAATGCCGCCTAGCAAATCATGATCCCGAATAATAAACAGCCCCCTTCCCCCGCCCCGTCCCCCCCCAAAAATACGCAGTGGACGGTTCCAATTCATTTCGCGTACAAAGATTTGGTAAACATTACTATTTGCCTCAGATTGCATTGCATAGACCTAAGATTATTACAAAAAGTTACAACGCTTATTATAAAATGCTTAGCTTCCATTTGTGTATCACAAAATGCAGCAAACCATATGACAAATGCGTCGTTATTACAAAATGCAGCAAAACAAGCTACCCTGAAAATGATTGTTTCATGTTTTCTCTTTCTAATTTGCAAGAAGCGTTGAACAACTTAGTTCAAACATTGACAAAAAGACAAAAGCCTTACCAACAAGTTCGGCGTTAATTGCAGTGACGCAAAAAATCAGCATCAGGCCACACAACAGCATCAATTTTGACTCCATATTCTTGGAAAACCTGGAAAAGAAAGTTTAAAGAATTCGTGGTGTCAAATTATTACACCGACTCAGCACTAGTGCTACTCTGCCTGAAAGCTAAGTGTCACATAAGTGATCAGCTTTTTAGCTTTTCTCATGGTAATCATGGCTAGCGGTATTGCTCGAGAGCGCGTACGTTTGACGACGACGACAACGGCGACGGTTGCCCAAAAACTATTAATAATAATAATAATAATATTAATAATAACGATAGTAATAATAATATTAATAATATATATAATAATATTAATCAATACTGGTATAATGGACAAACTTGAGACAGTGTTGGCATGACAGTCTGGCAGTTTATTTATTGTCGAAAAAAATATATCTCCGGTTCTATTTGACACAAATCGTTCATTCAAATGGTAAAATACTCTTTCCCTGACAAAAGAATTGTTTGTCGAAGTTTCTACGGTGTGCCGCTCTCGTTTTGTTATTTTTAACTTTCTTCAAGGAAAAGTTGTGTCTTTCGGTACGCGTTTCCTAGTCGCTTGCTTGGACCGTGTTTTCAATAAGGGCCGGCGGCCGGCGAAATTTGCCGGCTACTTCACATGATTTCGCCGCCTACTTTAATTGAGAATTGCGTCAAATGAGGTGAATGACAAGAAACATTTTCCTACAAAACACGATGCTTAGATTGGCCAACATTTATTCATAAAACACAAAAAGGCACTTGTCTGAATTCCTAGTAATTAGCGACGGTGACTCTTGTTGATTTCTTCTTTCGCTGAAAAACAGTTGTGATGAGCAGCCTGGCCTTTACACATAACCTCGCGATGTGGGTGTTAAACCTGCACAACGTGTGCCCACGATCACGTTCCACTTTCTGATTCGAGTTTTGCAAAAATTTGGCTGCCGCCAAGAGGCAAACAACTCTATTACAGGGCTCAAAATTGCGACTCACTGGTGGCCAATGCGACCAAAACTCGAGTGTTGGTGACAAGAGTTAGCGACCAATTGGTCGCCAGTGGGCGACTCACGTTTTCTTTCGCCAACCTTTTAACCACAAAGGAAAACGGTAAAATAAAAGGTACGATTTGTTCGAACAGATCTAACAAAAGAAACCGGGAATTCTTCGATCACCAACTGGGTTGCCATATTTGACTCAGCACCTTTATTTTAGAGCACAAGTTAAATAATACGAGCACAGTCAGTCCATCCTTTTTCTTTGCTGCAAAGACTGTGAACATATGGCTCTCACATCGGAAAACTTCGAAATGGCTAGCGTGTTCGAAATCGCCCTACAATGCATTGCAAACCCTTGAGCATTGAGTAACTCATGTATGCCTACGGATTGTCTCTCTTCTATTTGATTTTACGATCTGGCGACTAAAAAGTAACATTTGGCGACTATTTTTTACCCTTAGTCGCCAAATGGCGACTAGAGGATTTTTTTTTAATATCGAGCCCTATTTTTGGAGGTTTTTCAGCCCCCCAAAAAACGACAGCATAAAGGGACGCGGTTTTCATAAGTTTTTTATGGTCAGCTAATCTTAAAAAATAAATATGTTTCATTTATTTGTCACATTGGTCAGCTAATCCAGATCGTTTTATATTTTTTTCGTCGCCAGGGTCAGCAAAAAGACAAAATTATACTTTGTTTATCCATTGCTTTTGTTCTCTGGTTTCTGTGTCCACAAATTAATAAGGCCATAAATTGCAGTAGACCCAGGGTATAAAGAAAATAATCTTTTATTTTATCACGTTTTATCAGGCTTCATTTATTCATATGGTTAAGAGAAGTGTCAACAACAGTTGCTGTTGCACCTGGAAGTATCGTGACCGCTGCACCAAGATCTACAACTGTTACCTGTTCCGTTTTTTTTTTTCTTTTAAGAATGTGCTTAATACTTGGTATAATTATACATGTATTTGCCCCAGAATGCAGAAATGCATTTTAAGAGGTCCAAGTTTTAAGAATATCCCAGTTAAGACAGGCTCCTGTACACCCATCCCAAGATTATGCTTTCGGCTCGAGTTGTACCCCCACCGCCTACTCCTGAAGTTTTGCCGCCTTATCTTTCGGTTGTGTTTGCTCTATAAAGATGGGATTGCTATCCTTGAAAACAGTAAATTTTGATTTAACGCGTATATTTCGGTTCGGAGATATCTGAGCTGCACTGTAAAGCTTCGGTCACGCCCGACTTCTCTCATACAAAAGGCTTTTGGTTGAGGAGGAGGTTCCATCATGCGCGATTTTCATGACATTCGGGACTGTTTCTAGAACTCCTATTATTTTCAATTTCGACACGATATCTGGCTCTTTTAATTAACACTAGCCAGTGATACATATCTTTTGCGTGCATTTTCAGACGATGGTTGAGTGGTTTGCTCAGTAGGGTTCAACTAAGTGACTGGATGCGCGCCTGGGGAGAATTTCGAGTGGAGGGATAAATCTTCTAGAGAGACAAGTCGTCCTAGACGGTTTGAAAACTGATTTTAGTCACATAAGTGTCTTCTAATGTTGTCCGTCGATGGAGCACGATTTGTCCGTCTTCTAATGTGAAAACTGGTATCGAGATTTCACTCTACTATTAGCACACCCACAGTCACGTTAAGTTTCAAATTTGCATGTATACGCAACAGTGCATTCCTGCTCACATAAAGACTGACTCACCTATCAAACGTGTTTTCGACTTCAGTATCAATTTGGGTGATTTAAGCTAAATATCGAGATTCTCCATTGGACCTGGAGAAGGGAAGATGCGACGTTACGTGTATCGTAGTATTTATGAGCATACATGCAAAATTAAAATTCCGGTAGCTACGAGCTAAAACTATGCGAATTTTGAAAGTCAAATCTTCAATGTTAGAGGTATTTTTTTTAATTCTAGCTTTTCAATACCGAGCTGGAGGAAAGAGTGAAATCAATCACTACCTTAAGCGCGCGAGCAGAAGCCATAGGCCCCCTTAAAATTGCGTCTAGGCCAGAGGCTCTGCAATATACAAAGGTACATTTTCTGCATCTTTTCATTCAAAACCTAGAGAAAAAACAAGTCATACTTGCGACCTTACATCACAACGTGATTTCTCTGTTGTCGGGTCGGAAAGACGCCCGCCACAAGAGAAAACAGCAAACAAAATAATCCTCTTTTTCCTGAACCCTTTTTTTCAATAAAAGGTACCTGCTTTATTATCAATGAGATCTTAATATTTAAAAGCTTCGGTCACCCACC